TACTTGTTACGACTGTGATCATGCTGATCTAGCTGGCCTCAATAAGGTCACAGAAGATACCTCTTCACGCGTGATGATTGGCGACTGCAGATCTGGAAAGCCCCACTCATTCTCTCTTCCAGTGACGCAGACCGAAAAGTGAAGGTCCAAGAACCGCATCCAAGTCTTGACGAACGGTGTCCAGTCAGATCTTGAGTTGCCCATGTTATGCACTGTAAACGGAAGGCAGTTTGTAGGCAGGACGAATGTAATGTAGGTAAAACAGAAGGCTTCTTGTAGGCAGAATGTCATTAAGGCGAAACAGAGGACTGTCAGAGGCAGGACCTGTACTGAGGACGATGGCACAGTTCAAGTCGCGAGTCAATGCTGACACCGCCGTGTATATGGTGTGGGGTAAATGTAATAGGCCGAATGTTGGCCAATCAGAATAAGGACAGGGGTGAGCCCGCTAGCCAGGAGTGACGTCTGGGCAGTCAGAACAAAAGGGTGACGCGCTTCCGTGACCTTAATCGCCTTCCGCGAACTGCGGCAGGATATCCCGACCACACGTGCGGTCATACACAACATCCCTCCACCCTCAAGTGAAGAGCATCTGGAAAGGTGAGAATTTGGTGGTTCCTCGGTCCGTACGCTAGTGCTGGCATGCGAATAGTTTGTTTCCCGCCGATGACCAGAAGATATTCGGTCCCTGAGAACTGAAACCAGGCCGTACGGGGACGCCCTGCATTTCTGTAGTGTCAGTTTTTCCGGGTCGTGATGAATCCGAGGAGAGGATGAGGTAGGGGTCGCCTTTGCCTGTTCAAAGGCACGTTGTTCGACGTCCGACCGGTTCCAGCAATAACGGGTAGTCTTTTGTGTCGAAACAAACCCCAGTGTGTATTGACGCTGGTGGCGTCTCGGGATTCTGGATTTAGGATGACTTGGTTGTTGGCATGATTAAAGTCCAAAGTTATAGATCGCCGACCACTTGAAAGGGATTCATACATGTCCTCGATCCGTGGGAGCGAATAATAGTTTAGTGGGGTCGCTGTGTTGATAGTGAGCTTGTAGTCACCAGAAATACTCACGGAACCATCGGCATCTTCATGCCGATGGTTCCGTGAGTATTTCTGGGATTATTGGGGCTGCCCCTTATGAATACTGTGCAGGCTCAATAATGTCTGCTTTGTCTGGACGATCTAACCCTTCGTCGACCTCCGCTGCAAGTGCATAGGGGACTGGTCGAGCTTTGCATAATTTGGGCTGAGATTCTGATTCAAAGTAGAATTTAACGGATGGATCGCGATGCTCTGTAGTAGAATAATCCTCAGATAGTTCTTCATGT